CTTGATAGAGGGGGCTGTGAGAGGCAGGTGGACAATCTTTTTAGGAGGAAGTGAAATTGCTTAAAAAGGAGAGGATTTGGCTTCAAAATAGCCAAATCTGGATGGCCAGGTCCTGCCTGGGATGTGATAGGCATGGATGGGAGTATCTGCCCCACACCAGTTGGAGTAGGGGAAGGGAAACTGCTCCTAAAGAGCTTCCTGCAGAGGGGATACACATGTGCCTCTGCTCAACTGTCATCTCCCCAGGGCTTGTCCACAGGGAAGTTCAGACAGCATGGGGAATGCCACTTGCTGCCCAGCTGCCAGATGGAGCAGGAAACAAGGCTGCGGGTCTGGAGCAAGGACCACAGGAATGGTCTAAACCTGCATCTTCCTGCCCACATTCGAGGTTTTTCAGAATCTTCCTGCTCTATCTCACCCCATCCCTCTGCCCCTTGCCACAGGAGATCCAGGCATATTACCAGCAGAGTCTGATGGAGAAGGAGCTGCTCTTCTTCAGCTATGACGTCTTTGGCATCCCTTTTGTGGACCCGGTGGGTGATGTGAGACCAGGGTGATGCAGTGGCCAGATGGAATGCAGATGAGAGATCTGTGTCCTGGCCAGATCTTTGTCCAGCTCCTGATGTTGTTCTTCTGGTGGCAGGACACATGGACACCTGAAGAGGTGATACCAAAAAGACTGCGAGAGAAACAGAAGTGAGTGCTGTCCCCAGCCAAGCTCACCCAATGGGGGTCTGACAGGACAAACCTTTCTTCCAGTGTGGGCTTTGGGCCAAAGGACACGGCATAGAGCTCCTGCCAGGGGATGTTTTGATGCTGGGACTGGAAGAGGCTGCTGGAGGGCAGAGCTTTATTTCCCATCAGCCCATGGGATGATGGGCATGTGTAGGTCACCTCAAACACCTCAGAGTGTGGGATGCATTGAGGTGACTCTCCAGTCTAGGTGCAAGCTTTGTTACAAGCACCTGAGACAGCTTGTCCTGCCCTTGTCTTAGTGGCCCTCATTTCTGGTGTGGGGACAGTGGGGTGGTGGTGCTGATGGCTGCCGCATGCCCAGGGTGGAGCGGGAGACTGCAGCACGCATCTCTGAGGAAATCGGCAACCTCATGAAGGAGATTGAGACACTGGTGGAGGAGAAGGCCAAAGAGTCTGCCGACATGAGCAAGTTCATCCGAGAAGGTGGAGAAGGCCAGGAGGGGAGGTGGGATGGAGACCTTTGTGACCCCTGCTGCTAGTTCACAGTCCCTTTACACAAGGGTGGCAGCAGGAGCAGGTGGAGGGACCACAGCTTCCCCCAGCCCTCCCAGAGCTGGTGGCATCTCTCCCCACATACACCAATCCCACTTGTGCCACAGGTGGCCCTTTGGTGTACGAAGGAGCCAGTGTCACCATGAACTCCAAGGCCCTGAATGGCTCCCAGCGTGTCGTGGTGGATGGAGTCCTGTCTGCTGAGGAGTGCCGTGAACTGCAGAGACTCACTAACGTGAGTGCAAGAACAGGTAGAGAAGGCAGGGATGGATAGAGGATGCCATCTATCCATCAAGGGGTCCCATCCTGCAGCTCACACATCAGACCAGTAACACAAATTGGGTTTTACAGGCGGCTGCCTCGGCTGGAGATGGCTATCGGGGGAAGACCTCTCCTCACACTCCCAGCGAGACCTTCTATGGCGTGACTGTCCTCAAGGCCCTCAAGGTTGGGGTGGTTGTGTGGAGAAACAGGCTGTGGGGACAAGGTAGGGTAGTTTTGGGGGAGATGGTTGCCCATGCCCATGTGGGGCTGAGTCCCTGTCCTGTCTGTCCTCCACAGCTGGGGCAGGAGGGGAAGGTGCCCCTGCACAGTGCCTACTTGTACTACAACGTGACAGAGAAGGTGCGGCGCATGATTGCATCCTACTTCCGCCTGGAGGTCCCACTCCACTTCTCCTACTCCCACCTAGTGTGCCGCACAGCCATTGATGGTGAGTGTGGCCCAGAGGAAGAAGTCTTTTGTCTTTTCCTGTCTGGATCTCCTCTAACAGCTGGAGTGGTGTAGTCTTGGACCTTTCTTTGGAGACCTTGCTGCTCCCTAACCCACTCTTCTTCCCAGGAGGGTGTAGGAAGCTTGTCCCTAAGCCCAGTTTGGGAAGATGAGCAGCAGCTCTGCTGGTTGCCTCTAACAGGGCAGATGGCCTCATGCCATACAGGATTTCATCATTCTGAGGCACTTTGGGATGGGCGCTGAGAGAGGTTGTACCTGGAGGGCCATGGAAGTGCCATGGGACAAGTCAACAGTGTTTTATGCCACCCAAATGGCCTTGCACGATCCACGCTCCAGCAAGTGGAAGTGCTTTAGGCTAACGCATGACTTTCTTGTCATCTACAAGCACGGGATACTTGGGGATGGACCCTGTTCTTGCACAGAGGGCTCCTGACGTGCCCTGTTCTACCCTAGAGAAGCAAGAAGGCCGGAATGACAACAGCCATGAGGTGCATGTGGACAACTGCATTCTCAATGCTGAGGCACTGTTGTGCGTGAAGGAACCCCCAGCCTACACTTTCCGGGATTACAGGTACTGGTGGTGGCTGTCAGCTGCAGCTTCCCCACCTAAGGGTACCACAATTTGGTGGCACCTCAGTTGGGAGGAGGAAGGTAGGAAGTACACCAGACCTGGGCTTTCTTGCTTCTGGCTCTTGCCATCATGCTGGAGAGCTCTGGTGATGGTTACTTGTCACCTCCACTTGTCCCCTGCTCCCTTTAGTGCAATCCTCTACCTCAACGGGGACTTTGAAGGAGGAGCTTTCTACTTCACCGAGCTGGATGCCAAGACTGAGACCGTGAGTAGCTCAGTTCCAAGGATCCATGGGCAGCACCAAATCTAGCTCCTGCCTGTTGGCCCTGTGCCCTGGGAACATCCCCTGTGCCACTGCAAAAGATGAACTTGGGTTGAGGGGAACCAACTCACCCCTGAGTGGGGTCTCCTGGTCTCCCACCCTTGACAGGCAGAGGTCCAGCCACAGTGTGGCCGTGCTGTGGGCTTCTCCTCTGGCTCAGAGAACCCCCACGGGGTGAAAGCTGTGACCAAGGGTCAGCGCTGCGCTATTGCCCTCTGGTTCACCCTGGACCCTCGGCACAGTGAGCGGGTAAGCTCCCTCCCAGCAGTGCGTAGGGCTTTTGGCTGGGACAGTGGCTATGCATACCACTATGGGTCTGCCCACAGGAGCGTGTGCAGGCAGATGACCTGGTGAAGATGCTTTTCAGTGTGGAAGAGGGGGATTTGGAGCCAGAGAAGGAATCATCAGCTGCCATTGCAGTCGGGAAGGATGAGCTGTGACATCCTGCAGGGACCAGGACATCTCTGCTGGGACTAGTCATGTCAGCATTGTGGCTTCAAGCTGCATAGTCATAAGGGTAACATAGGGGATCCCCTCTGCCCCTGACCCAGTTGGAGTGGGGCTTTGGGGAATGCTGTGTACTACCCCTGCAGCATCCAGTATTCCCCTGTGGAGCTGACCTGGGGTGTGTGATGGAGGCTCAGGGGTGGGTGACATGGGGACAAGGGAGGGATGCTCTGTTAGGGGTGGGGTCCTGGTGCCAATGGGTGCAGATGTGTGCCTTTCCTGAACTTGGGGGTATATAAGTGCCTTCTGCAGAAAATGGGTGAATAAAGGTATTTTTTTTCTAAGCTGTTGCTTTCCAGGTGGGGACTGAAGGCTGGTGTCACCCTTTGGCTGTTGTCAGTGTTGGGGTACAACCTTCCCTCCTGGCAAGCATCTACCCAGGAGTATTGTAGCCCTGTAAGCCTCACAAAGGTGTTTATGGGAGACAGGGTGTCCCAGGGGCAGTAGCAGCAATGCAATCTCTGGCTGAGCATCCCTGGACCTCGCTCCCATAGCGTGGGAAGGAACCCACCATTCCAGTGAGGAGGGAACTGTCCTTGAACAAGAAGGACATTGAGCACCCTGGCACTCCCGGACAGGGCATTGAATTGTTCCTGCAGATGTCTGGCCATTACCATAACCATCGCGGGAATGTGGGCAAAAAAATCCTGCCCCATGTGCAGCCACCCAGCACCCCTATTTCACTTGGAGGGCCATTCAGTATTGGGGTGGGCAAGGGGGGATCTGGAGGATGTTTTCTCCAGGATGAACATACAGTCCCAGTGTAGGCTGCCCACCGTCCCAGTGTCCACCCCCAGCTGCCTGAGTTCGTGAGCAGACTGCTGATGAGGCCATGGCAGTTAACGATTGCCAGGTCCTAGGGCTGCAATGGGCTTGGTGTCACCAGGGTGGTGACACATGTTCCCCACACCCCCGCAGGCATACACCACTGACAATGGCTTCTCTTGTTGGTGCCATGGTGGCATGGTGTGCCTGAATTCCCTCACTGAATGAACTGTTTCCCTGCTCCCTGCTGAATTCCTGGAGTGACCCCTGGGGCCTCTGGGGGCTCCCCGTCCACGGCAAGAGGTCAAGGATGGTAACTTCCCACTAACCCCCTCGCTCCTCCTGTCGGGGAGCCCCATTTTCGCATATCCCAACACTGTCGTTGAGTGGTTTCCATCTCTCTCAAGACCCAAATCTCTCTTGTAGGACCCAAATACCTTCCATGCCCCAAATCTTTACCCTAAGACCACATTCTTCCCTCTAGGATTCAAATCCCTTGTCTCCAACCCCAAATCACTCTCCTCAGATTCAAATCTCTCCCCCTCAGACCGAATGCTCTTCCCTGGGCCCCAGTGCCCCCCCCCTCCCTTAGGCCTCTAATTCCCACTTCCCGGTACCCAATTCCCCCTAAGCTCCAGGTAACCCACCCCCTTGGCCCCAACTCTCCGACTCGAGACTCAAAAATCCCCTCTGGGACTTAAATCTCCCCGCGCAAGACCCACGTCTCTCCCTTCACCTCAAATCCTCCCGACATTGCCCTCCTCCCCCCGCCCCGACCCGTATTCCCCCTCAGAGCCGCCCCTCGGGCCTTGTCCCTCCTCCCACGGCCGCTCTCCGTCCGCCGGGGCGGGCCCGGGCGCGGCGGCGGCGATGGGCGGCGGGGCGCGGGAGCTGGCCGGGTACCTGGCGGCCCTGGCCGGCTGGGTGGCGGGGCTGGCGGCGGCCGTGCTGCCGCAGTGGCGGCAGAGCTCGTACGCCGGGGACGCCATCATCACGGCCGTGGGGCTCCACGAGGGGCTGTGGATGAGTTGCGCCGCCCAGAGCACCGGGCAGGTGCAGTGCCGCCTGCACGACTCGCTGCTCTCTCTCGAAGGTGGGTACGGGGGCCTGGGGCCCCGTAGGATGAGCCCCGCTTCCTTTCCTGGATGCAGTCCCCGCTCCCCGTCTCTGCCTTGGTATGAGCTCCCCTGGGATCCTGAGATGCCCTTGCCCTTTTGTAAGTCTGAGTCCCGCTGTGGGTTTGACCCTCCCCCATATGGCTCTGAGCCCTTCTCTGTGTTTGAACCCACCTGTATGAGTTTGAACACACATCCGGAACAGGTCTGTACCCTCTTCACGTCTGGATGCCTCCTTCCCCTATGCATCTGAGCTCCCCTGGCTCTTCCTGGAGCCTGAGTCACCTTCAGGTCCAAGTCCTTCTTGCCCCCACCCCTATTGTAGATCTGACCCCCCCCTCAGAAGGGTCTGAGTCCACTCATCCACTGAGCTGAGCCTTGATGTGGATCCAAGCTTCCCTCTCCATCTGTGAATCTTAGGCCCCCTCCCAGGACTGAGCCTCTCTTGGCCCTGTGGATTTGAGCCCATTTGTGTGGCTGGGATGCTCCTGGCCCCAGCAGGTTTGAGCCCCAATGTGGGCATCACATTTAGATACCAACAGTGCCCCATGGGGACATCAAACACTCCCCCCCGCCCCTGCTCCATGACCGTGCATCACCCTTTTAGCATTTGGTGACTGTGGTGCTGCTCCTGGCAAGGTGTTTCCTAGCCCAGCACAGTCATGACCAGGATGAGGGTGGAAGGGAGGAAGGTCAGGGAAGGCATTTGGGAGCAGTGCCTTGAGCTGAGCTGAGGTCCCCATATCTACCAAGTGGGGAGGATATGACACAGGAGCTACACAGCAAGGACAGGGTTAAGGACAGATCCATCACCAGCATGGAACACAGTGACCTTGCTTCCAGTGCCCGGCTGTGGTCAAAGGCACCTGCTGGGAGCAGTTTTTCTTCCACCCTTGCAGTTCACATCCAGACATGCCGGGCTCTCATGGTCATTTCTCTCCTCCTGGGCTTCTTTGGCATCATCGTGAGCGTGGTGGGCATGAAATGCACTAAAGTTGGGGAGGAGGATCCTGTCACCAAAAGCCGCATAGCTGTTGCTGGAGGTGTTCTCTTCGTTCTCTCTGGTAAGGCAGCTCTAGCCTTCATACATCACTGGTGCAGGAATCCTCAAACACCTTTCAATGCTGATAGAGGAAGGGGAGCAGTTTGGTGAGGGCTGGATGTCACTGACAACCAATGTTTGATGTCTAGTGGAACAACTAGGCAACCATCTCACTGCAGGGGCTTTGGACTAGGTGATCTTTAAAGGTCCTTCCAACCCAAAACATTCTGTGATTCCACGATTCTGTGCCCAGGTCTGTGCACACTGGCTGCCGTGTCGTTGTATGCCACACAGGTGACCTATGAGTTCTTCAGAGAGAGCACCATCCCCATACACACTAGGTAAGACCCTGGCTCAGGAGGTGCCCTTCTGAATCCTGTCTTGTCCCTGCACTTCCCATTGTACCTTTCCTTTCTGGTTTTGGTGAGGCACAGCATTGTGGGCCAGTGTGCCCCATGGGTGGGACCTCTGCCAGCCCTCGCTGCCACCTTGCAGATGTCGCTGATGCTAAAGCTTTAGCTGTTACCAGCTGGGACTGGGTAGTGGTGCACGTGTGGAATTTCAGCCCAGGGGAGGATTATAAGCTGGGGACATGTGGTAGCTGGATACAGCCAACAGGAAAGATGAGGATGGAGAGGGAAGAACTAAAATCTGCCTTGATCACCTCATTGGAGCTTCAAGCATCCTGTTGCCCATCTCAGTTTGCACCTGTGCCTCTCTGCCCCTCCCTGATGCGCCCTTACCCCTTTCATCACAGGTACGAATTCGGCTCTGCTCTCTTCGTGGGCTGGGGGGCCGCCAGCCTCTCCATGTTGGGGGGGTCCCTCCTGTGCTGCTCCTGCCCTGCCAAGGAGCACCGAGGACAGCAGTACCATCAGCAGTCACAGCCCTCCACAGCCCGCGAGTATGTCTGAGCCCTCGCCCTACGCTCCTGCTGCCCAGTGCCTCCCTTCCCTCCCAAAAAGAGGCAAGACCCTGGTGTTCCCACTCTGCCTGGACCCTGAATGTCCCGTGAGACCTTTCTCCTTCTTATCTTCCAGGTTTCAGCACCATTTTCAGTGCCAGCCTCTGAAGTAGAGGTTTTAAGTGTCACACCTGTCATATCCATCATTGCTGTGTTCTGCTCAGCTGGGCGGGGTGGTACCCCCAGCCCCACATCATGGCCACGCCATCTCTGTCTGTCACAGGGATTCTCTGGGGGTGGTGCAGGGAGGTGATGCCAGTGGCAAAGGGGCACAGAGCCAATTGGCCAATCCCACAGGGATTGTACCATGGCCACCCCTCTCTCACACCCTGGTTTCAGGAGTAAGTGGGGAGGAAAGCCAGAGTTTGGTTTTCCTTGGATGAGGTTTTTACTTCTAACAGCACCAGCCCAACTTGGAGTTCAAGCATCCCTACACCCCGTTCTTGGCAGAGGAATGCTTTTAGGATGCAGCATTGCCCTTCCTCATTGCTACTGGAAAGCAACAGTTTAAAATTATTATTAATTATTATTCAGTTTAAAATTATTATTAATTATTATTGATTCCTTCCTGGAGGCCAGTTGTTCCAGCTGAGCTCTGCCAGCCCAAACCTGCCTTGGACTCATTCCTGTCCAGGACCAGGCTGTGCCTTGTTAAACAATGAATGGGTTTCAGCAAATTAAAGCAGCAAAAAGAGGGTCTGAACATAAATTATTTGTTTTTGGTTACAGATGGACAGAGCCCTGAATTTTGGTGCCTCCCTGCTGGGTCCAAATCCCTCTTCCCCTGCCAAGATCCCCTAGAGCAGACAGTGAAGGTTCCAAATACAACCTGCTAATTGCCTCCACCACTTTGTACCTCTATTCTACTGCTACTAATTGTTTTGCAACTGCCAAAGCTCCAATTTCATCTGTAAATCCTCCAAATTCTCTGTACTCCATCCCTCCAGCCCTGCTGCAGTGTTGCGCCAACCAAGCCGCAGGGAAGAACACTGAAAATTATCCAAACAGCTTCATAATCTATTTTTTAATTTTATCTTTAAACCCAAATATGAAGAGAAAGATGATTTTTTAAAAATTTTGTGTTGCTCTATTTTATTTTGTTTATTTTATTTTGCTCTATTTTGTTTTATTCTACTTTTCTCGTTTTTATTTTCTTTCCTTCTGTTTTATTTCCTTTCCCTCTATTTGATGTTATGCCCATGCCCGGCTCTGGGTCCCTGGCTGTGCTGGAGGAGAAACAATGCTGTTTTTTCCCCAAGGGGGCGCGTGATTTCTCTTTCTCCCTGGCATTAACTGCCTTTATCTCTTTTAAGTTGCAGTCCCCCTGTAAAGCTGTCCTGCACACCTCATGGGAGAGCAGTGCTTCTAGGCTGGCATCACCCATCAGGTGCTGAACCCAGATTTTGGGGTTCGAAAAACAACAACCAAAGCCACTGCAGTCAGGATTGAAAAGGAATCTTATGCTTTAAAACAAACAAACAAAAACACCCCCCCCCAAAAAAAAAAAAACCAAAAAACACACACACACACTAAAAGGGCCTTTTCTTTTTATATTTCAGTGTAAATGAAATTTATATTAATAGAATAAAAAACATTCTTAACTTTCCCTTGGGATGCATGGCCTTGGATTTTTTTGTAATTAAAATTGTGACTTGGTGGTATTACAATATTTTAAATCATGGGCATCTTTCTGGAACTGTCTCTTTGATCTCCCCTCACTCCCCATCTGGACCAGTCCCCTCCAGTGCTGGTTCAGAGCTACTTCTGCAGTGTGGCAGGAGCCTTTCCTCCATCCTCAACAGTTCTTGCCCTCCTGGCTAAATATATTGCATCTTTTGCCACGTATTGCTCTCAGAGGTGGGGATGTGTTCTTACAAATTTCTTCAGATTAAATCCTTGGGAATCCAGCTTGACCCCTCCACAAGTCTCTTCCCAAGGCTGAAATGCCACCAGCATCTTCCACTTATAGGCCCTCTTATGAACCCTCATAGCTGAAGTCTTCCTGTTTTCTCCCATTTGCCATTAATTCGGAGCTGACTTGTGCCTAATTGGGTATTTACTAATTTAAGCCAATTTTTATTCCACTATGTGGGACGTGGCCCCTGCTGTGCATGTTTTTCTTTAGAGGTCATGTTTTCCATCCAGGTTTTTGCATGGCTGCTGTGTCGTCTTAGCATCCTTGTCTTGCCTCCTGCATCTAGTTCAGAAATACATCCCATCCCACCTCAAACCCAGGGATTTGCTGTCCTTGGTGGCTGCTGCGACATCTCCAATAGTCACCTGAAGGCTTCCTGGGGATGGACACCCAGGCTGGAAGCACATCAGAGAGGGGGATCTGCCTTTGGTCACAGCACAGGCAGGCTGAAACAGTTCCCCCCCTCCGACGCACTTAGTCATTAAACCAGTTGTTGGGAGTTGGGATTTTTTTTCCTTTTTCTTTTACTTACAGATTTTTCTTTTTCCCATAAATTGCTAGGAAACTAACTACTGGGGACTTATGGATACTTAGGGGTACTTAAGAAAGACAAAAGACTGTGTCTGAAGTCGGGAGAGGAGTGGAGCATCTGGGTACAGCTTTTTTCCTTGGGCGAGTTTCTCTCCGGGGGACGGAGATACTGCCGGAATGGGGGCAGGTAAAATAGACGGGGTTGGAGGCAGCTGGGTGCTCTCGCTCGTTGGCATCAGAGGAGGACAGCCAGGCTCTCCCTTCCTGCAAGAGAGAATTCACCGGCACTGAGGGACCGATCGCCATCTGCTCGTGTGCCCTGGCAATCCTGAACCTCGCCTCGGCCCCGCTGCTCTGGCCCCACTGTTTTTTCGGTTTCTCCACGCTGTGGCCGGCGCCGTCTCTGAGTTCCAGCTACCACTGTGGAACTCCTAATACATCTAGTCCACCACCCCCGGATTTTTTTTGCTCATTTCTGCCAGCTGTGACGGTAACTGCACCGAAGTGGAAAGTGCGAGCAGTCCAGAAGGCTTTTGCTGTGTCCCTGGTTCTGTTTGTTGTTAATGTTATTGTTTTGTTTGCCTTGTTATACATACTAGTAAAGAATTGTTATTCCTGTCCTCATATCTGCCTGAGAGCCCCTTGATTTCAAAATTATAGTAATCCAGGGGTCGGGGGTTTACATTCTCCATTCCAAGAGAGGCTTCTGCCTTCCCTGGCAGACACCAGTCTTTGAAACAAACACACCAGATTAATGAGCAGTATTGAGGTTTTGGGTCATACCTCTTGCTTTCAGCCAAAGCCCTGTGAAATAACAGTCATTTTTTAAATAGGCAGAAATGAGGGAAAAGGGAAAATTACCCGCACAGATAGGCATGCAGAAGGGCTTTTCTCACACATCTGAGACATGGTTGTTTGAATTTGGTGGTGATTTTAATAATTCTTATTCACTGTCCTGCCCCTACAGCATCTGCTGAGTCCTCTCTAGTTCTCTGAGATCATCCCATCTCAGAAAACATCTTTCTTTTTTTTCCCCTTCCAGCCACAGCAGGTTTTTTTTTAGTAAAATATTTGCTGAAGTTCAAGGTTTGAGTCTTGTCAGCACGTTTTTGACACATGGTTGTGACAAACCTCATCGTTTTGACAAACCAAAATTTTTTTGACAAACCCAAGATCTGATTTTCACTGTCATTAACCCGGGAAAGGAGCTTAATCATTTGACCACTGTTATGTGGAGTGGTGGGTGGGAGACAGACACACGACACAACACAGAGTCACGGGCAAAGAGCATTGAGCTGAATGTGCTGCCCTTTCTGTAGGGTGTTTGAATCTCCCAGCTTAGACAGCTGATGGGATGGGACCTCTCCCCCAGCTCTCTGGCCAGTGGTATATCTGCATCTAAGCTTGAACAGGGTTGGCTGAGGTCTTTTCTAGAATGAGCCAGGTCAGACGAATTGGATTTGTTATGGCCAGGATTACCTTGTTCAGCTACAGACTAGCTGTGCTGTGACAGACTGCTCCTAGTTGTGCTCATCTACCTGCCTCTTTTCACCCCCAGAAAGGTTTCAGTTGGGGATTAACAAAGTGGATTTGTTTGATATATCATAAACTGAGTGTTTAGACAGAGCAGAAAATACAAATACACCTATTCTATAGGTGTTGCCAAGACCATGGAGGTACAGTTTTGTATCACTTGGGGTCACACAGTATTTCATGTGTCATAGATGTCCAAGAACCATTCTTGATCTGTAAAGGTTGGAAAATGAAGGTTCACAAACCCTTCTGAACATTTTTGGCCTTAATTCACTGCTGCATTCCAAAGCATTAGGCTTGCCATGTGCCAGAATTCTGGGAAAATAGAATAACTCAAAGCCCCAGGAATGTCACACATCAGGCACCTGGGTATCTCTGCAGGGCTGAAGGATTTGCCAAGATTGGTATTTTTCCAAAATGGCCACAGTAAAATGCTGCAGAGGATTATCTAGAGGGAAAAAAAAAAAAAAAAAGCAACAAAAAACCCAAACAAACAAACAAAAAAACCCACACAACAAAAGAAAGCAAAACCCACCCTAAAAACCCAAATGCACCTCAACTATGACCGACGAATGGAAATGAGAGATGAGGGTGAGCGGTGGCAGAGCCATGAGGCGCAGCCGAGCCCAGGGATGCTCGGAGGATGCTGTAACACAGATCCTGTGTAATCCCCAAACAGTAGGGGATTAGAGAACAAACCTGAAGCTTTCAGGGCTGCTCCAAGTGCCAGACGGCTGGGGTGCTGCTGCTCAGGTTCAGAGGCACCTCCTTGGGGGCTGACCAGACAGGTACCTGAGCCATCGCTGCTGCAGGGGTTTTCACTTGTTTTCTGCTTAATGGGAAAAAAAGAAAGGTCTTAATTACCAAAGAGGTTCATTACCACCCTGGCATTCCAGCTCCCTTCTTTGGCCCCTTCCAACCCTCTGAACTCAGGCATCACTCCTGGATCTTACTCCATTCCAGCGTCTTAGGCCACTCATTCTTAGGCAGTAATTGAAAGGTCTAATAAAAAAACTATTATTTGTCCAGCACACATAGTCCCCCACCTGGGGAGAGTTCCCAGCAGGTTTCCAATGGTTTCCTCATGTGACATTTTTGGGGAGGCTCCATTCCCAGCCTATGACTGCTCTAACTGCAGGGCTGCCCATCATGTCTCAGAGCACAAAACCCAGCTGACATACCTTGGACAAACCCTAAATAGCCCAGCACAAGCTCCAGCTGTTGCTGCGTTTCCCTGACTCCATTAGATGAGTCAGGATCCAATCCCATCAGCACTTAAGAGCCTTCCAGACTTACATCCCTTATCCCAAATCATCAGCAACAAAGAGATTCTGTCATCACCCCCTCTGCAACAAGGATGAGCCTGCAGTGAAGGTAAATAGTTCATGCTCTCCATGAACACCTTTTATTATTAACCAGGTTTAGAGCTGATTTTTCCTAGCATTAAGATTTTCTTTCTCTTCCTTTTTCTTGATTATATAACTGAAGTGGTTGAACAGATTTTCTTCAAAGGCTCCAAAACAGCTAGACTGTAGCAGAAACAAATAATGCTCTGGGGAATTAAAAAAAACTTACTTTAAATTGGGGTCTAAGAGACTGCCCACTTGGAGTGAAGCTGATGGAAGTGCTCAGAGATGATGGGAGAGTGATGCATTTACTGCCAGTGAGATCCCAAGAGGGGACGTGGGGGGACATGGGGCACATTGGGTGTGGGGACAACTCTCCTTCCGTCTTTGCCCCACAGGGAGCCTGTGCCATGCCAGGGTGGGCGCCCTCTGGCTGCAGGTACTCAACAAGGATCATGATGAGTTATCATTTCATGGTAATTAACTCATGTAGCTCAGAAACTCATCTGGTGCTGCTAATTCACTCATTTGTATGAATCCCTGTCCAAAGGGTTGTTGCAGTGGTTGCAAATTCAGGCAGTAAAATATTTGGCTTTTTGGGTTGCAAAACATGACAAAATAGGGTTCCTGTCCAGGGTTTGCAGACACAGTGTCCCCAGCTCATACCTTGGGCACAGCTCTCCTCTCTCCAGAGTCCCTTCACCTAGGCATGGAGAACATCCATCTAGGATGGAAAACAAATGGTGCCCTCCCTTCTCCTCTGTGGAAAGCCTTGGCAGCTCCTCAGGACACCCACATCATGCCCCAGCAGCCTTTGTCCGCCTTGGAATGGGAGATGTGTCTTTGGGCTGGTGCTTAGGATTAGGACATCTCCATGTGACACTTGTTTGTACTCCAATCTGGACGTTTAACACCTCATAGCTTTTCTTGGAGTGAAAATCAAAAGCAAGAAAAGGCAGAAGATGCACCCACCAAGTCATACGGCAGGGATGGAGGTCTCCAGAGGTTCTCTGGAAACATGCTTAGGTCACAGGTTTTCCTAGCAGCAGTTATTTGACAGTGGTTTCCAGCACCTATTGATTGCCAAAGGGCAAGTAATGATGGTTGGCATTTTCTATTTGGAAGAAAGGGAACCAATGTGGGAACGTATCCACTACAAAATTACTGTGTGTCTAAAAGCTCCCTCTACATGTAAATCTCATGGCCCAACCTTGGCTGAGGATATTAGAGCATTTTGACAGCAAGTGAGCACTGTGAGACAGGACCCAGATGACTCCTAGGTATCCAGAGGATGCCTGGCCTCGGTGGCACCTTGTCCTTGTAAGATTGGGTGTCTGGAAGTAGCCAGAGCAGAGTTGGTGAACATCTCTGTGCCCTTGCAGGTCTCCCCATGAGTGCAGCCCTACAGGTGACAGCATTCGGGCTTGCTCTTCTCTCAACACTCTTCCTACTCCTGGCCACATGCACAGACTGCTGGATGGTCAATGCTGATGACAGCTTGGAGGTGAGCAGAGTAGCCACCTTTAAGGTGAGCAAAGCAACCATCATCCTCAAGGTGAGCAGCTGAGAGCAAGGTGTTGCCATCCATGAGGTTGCACAATGGCTCCACAGGCTTGGAAAAGGGACACGGTGGGGCAAAGCCACTGCTTTCTAAGTTGAAGGATTAGATGATTATGGAGGCAGAGGAATGGAGCAGGAGAAAACAGAGAGCAGGTATGGGCAGGGAGTCACCAGGACATATCCAGGTGTAGTAGTGGGAGCCTGAAATCTGCCTTGCTGTGCTGGGAGATCCATGGGAAGCTGGGGAGACTCTGGTGCTTTTTGCATGAATGCCTTTCTCCTGCTTCCAGGTAAGTCACAAATGCCGGGGACTTTGGAGGGAGTGTGTCACCAACATGCAGGACGGGGTCAGGACCTGTGACCAATATGACTCAATTCTGGCTGACCACCCAGGTGAGCTGACCTGCCCTGGAGGCATTTATTAAGTTCACAGCTCAGAGTCTTCTTGAAAGGCAAGAGGGAAAGTGATTTTCGTTGCACCAAGCTGCCCTTTGTCAGTCAGTCACACCAGCCTGTCTTGATCTCTTGATCTCCTGCCAATAGCAGGATCTTGATCTCTTGATCTCTCCAATAGCCTGGTCTTGGCAGAAACTTGGCAGTTAGACCTGCCATGGGGTCATCAGGCAGGAAAGATGCTGTGAAGCTGTGCCACCTCACAACAAACATGCTCCAGCATGTAGAGCCTAGGATTTGCTACCCACTATGCTGCAGGCAGAGCAAGGACCATTCCCACTGGCCAAGGACTCATGCCTACAGCTCAGGGACAGTCACATCATGGTAGGAACATTTCTTCTGGCCTGCACAGGGCATACCAAGAGAGAGAACCTTTGTACTGGGTCATGACATGGAACACAGATTCAGACAGTGGAGAAGGAAAGTAGTTGGTATGGACTAAGGGGGACTGCCACCTTGCTCTGGGGGAGAAACGAGCTTTGCAGGGCAGTCCCATCACAGCTAGTGATATGATCCATGCCAGCTCTAGTTTTTCACTGGTATATTGACATTTGCTGTTTAAAACACCTGCTACACAACTTGAAGGAAAAAACAGTGTGAGCAGCAGCGTCTTCTGCTCAAGAATGGCTTGAGCAGGCGACTACATACCAGGTGGTGATGGGTATACCTTGAGTTGTTTGGTTTCTTGAGCTGGTCTAATCATGGGTTTAAGTCCTTATTAAGTTTCTGATGAGCTTTTTGAGCACCTTCCCTTGGCCCGTGGCAGGGATGGAGTTGGTGGATTCCAGTGTGATGGCCACTGGTGAGCTGGGTGACTCAAAAAGGACATGGGCAGAAATCTGGAGACCCCTGTTCCTCTGGTAATTCCTCATTCCTGTTTCTGGTTGTTTTTAACTTTTCTACCCAGTGAAGATTGTGGTGACACGGACCCTGATGATCACAGCAGATCTCCTGGCTGGCCTGGCTTTGGCCACACTGGTCCTTGGGCTTGACTGCATCACCTTCCTCAAGGAAGATCCTTATGTCAAACTGAAGATGTGCTATGGAGCTGGAGTCATACTCTGCGCTGGCAGTGCGTGACTGGGAGAGCTTTGGAGCAAACAGACTTCATGTCCCACAGGGAGCTGGGGAGCATGCTGGGAGCTGGTGGCACCCTCTCAGTGGGGCTTGGGGAGCATGGGGTGTAGTATGGTTGTTTTTAACAAGCCCCTTTTCTCCTAGGCATCCTGGGTCTCATAGGCTCTGTGTGGTATGCAGTGGATGTCTACGTGGAGAGGGCCATGCTGGTGTCACACAATATATTCCTGGGAGTCCACTATGACTTTGGGTGGTCATGCTGGCTGGGGATGGCTGGCTCCATGGGCTGCTTTGTGGCATCTGTTCTGCTGACCTGCTGCCTCTATGCCTGCACAGGTCAGTCTGTCTCATTCCACCCCATCTTATCTCAAGTAGCTTCTTGCCCGGCAGATATAAGGGGTAAAGGACCAGCTCAGAGGGCACAGAGGCTTCTTGCAGGGCCCAGCCTAACCAAGGGGGACTCCTCTGTGCCCAACCTGTGCCCCTTGGCTGGGAAGGCTACACAAGGCAGAACAGGGCTGAGTGAGGGGCCCCATAAACCCTATAAGGGCATGAAGAGGGTGCAGGGATCCATCCACATCTGTGGGCCTCCAGGTCCTGATGAAGGTGTGCTGATGTTTACTCAAAGCAGTAGCTGTGCTGAAGTTGAATCCCTGTCATCAGCCAAAGCCTGAGACAATGGCTGCAGGGATGTGCTGGTTGAAATACAGCCCTCCCACCACGGACATTGGGCAGATGATTCTTCTCCAGACGCCATCTCCAATCTTTATGCCAGGTCCCATGGGGTGGAAGTTAACCCTGCTGGCTGTCTCAGTTAATTTCTCCTGATGTGTCCCCATGCTGTGGCAGTCCCAAGTAACCCTGCAACTGCCAGCCATGACACAAGCCTAACTCTTTCCTGGTAGCCCCCAGCAGCCGCTGTCAACCCCAGAGGCATCCCCAGCCCCGGGGCCGAACAGCCACCCGGACAGCCACCAGCAAGATGTACGCCATGGATTCCCGTGTGTGATGGCCGCACCACCTCCTGCACCTGCCCTGATATGGGACCTTCTCCCTGCCAGTCCGACCCCATTAAAGCACTAGCACCCGTACTGAGACATTTCTGCAGCTGCTTCCAGGTTCTGATGTAGCCAGCTGACTGCTAAAAGCAAAGGTACTGCAGCAGTCAGCCAGGGAAGGGTTTTTTCCCCACTTCCAGCCAGGTCTCATGAAGATAAATCCCAGAAAAGTATTGCTTTAAGGAAAGATGCCCCTGTTCCCTGGGGAAGCTGTCAGGACACTGAGGGCAGAGTAGCTCCTCTGACATTGCTCAGCCCATGCTTTGGGAGAATTCAGTGGGAAGTCTTTTCCACACGGAGCAGCACTGACTCCATGTGGCTGGTAGCCTTCCCACACCAGCCCCACTGGAAACCTTCCCTGGGCTCGGACTCAGGGCAGTATGAGGCTTGTGCTCAAAAACTGGGTAAAACCAGGAGTCTGGAATACTTAGTTATCCATGTTTTCACGGGGAATCATGAAGGAACACCGAAGCCATACACACAAGGAGGTGAGTCAGTCTGAAGCCTGATGGAGTACTTCTCACCCCCAGCTAAGCACACAGACACCTTTGCAGCACAGGGAAACCAAGCAAAATCTCCTCGGCACTGTCACCCTGAGATGAGGAAAGTCAAGCTCCAGGCCCAAGCAGATGGTGCTGCAGGGACACAGTCAGTCCCCAAAACAGATGGGTGTGAAGAATCAGAGTCCCACTCCTGCAGCCCAGCCAGGCTGCAAAGCACTGGCATCCAAAACCTAGAGAAGCTGTAAGGGTCTTCTTGAGCCATCTGCCCCCTCACATGAAGTCAAAGGGGCAGCAAAGCTGTTTTTTAGTGCTGCTTCTCACACTTCTGCAACATGGAATGTCTGGGGCAAGTCTGTCCTGTTTCCCAGGACCCCAGGAACCTGGGAAAGGAGAAAATCCAAACACTGAGTGGCAGGAAAGAGCAGAGATCAGATTGTGCAGTCAAACAACAGTGTCTGGAGGGCAGGATGCTCACAAATGGCACAGCCAGGGGATGAGCACGTGTAAGCATTAGCAGGTATAGAGAGCAAAGCCTGGAGCACTAGGATTGTTGGGACACCTGGGATGACTGGGACACCGGAGCCCACAAGAAAATTATTAAGAGCACAGAGCTCACTGGTATGCAGAAGGGTCCCAAAAACTGCCATTGGACAGTGACCCCCTCGTGCAGGTGCTCTGCAGTGGTTCTGACAGGTGCTGGCAGACCATGGCACAGCTGTGAGCGCCATGCTGAAGGAGCAGCCCCCACTCACCAAGTTCTCACCATGGCAGTGGGGTGCAGCCAAAGCCAGCTTTGTCATAAGGCGCAGCCCCATCTCCACGCTTCTGCACCCAGCTGGCTCTGCAGTGCATTCACGGAGCAACAGCGCCATAGCACAGCCCCAATGGCAAGTTTGGGACTTCTTTGGTATCTAGAACCTGGCACAGGCTGCCCAGAGAAACCATGGCTGTCCCATCCCTCAAAGTATTCAAGGCCAGCTCGGACAGGGATTGGAGCAATCCAATCTGCAAGCTGCAAGTAGAAGGTGTCCCTGCCCACTGACAGGGCATGGGATGGGGCGAGCTTTAAGTTCCTCATTCCTCCAACCCCAACCAATGTGTGATTTTACCATTTTGGGGGAGGGTTTCCCCTTTTTTTTAAGCACCATCACACCAAGTCAGGTCTACAAGTGCTGTACTCCAGCAAGGACACAGCCAAGCTGTACCAGCAAACAGCTCCTGGAAACACACTGGGCTAGCACTACAAACTCCCACCCCTCTGTGGCTGCCCATCATTCTCCAATGTGACTCAACTGCACCTTCATTGGTTTTTTTACTTCAACTTTTCTGCTTTACCCCACCAGCCTGTATGCCCAAAGAGTAAAGCAGTCATTTTTTTGCCAAACCTTCTATGAATACTGAAAACCTTTAAAACACCTAAGCACACATGGTAACTCTTTAAGACCTTTATTAACAGATGCTTGCAGTTTGACTTGAAAAAATCAGGCGTATATTTCATACAAATTAAAAATGAGGTTCTTAAAAATCTCAACGTGACCAGATATGAAACAATTTACAAACTTTTAAAGGTATATTGAGAAAAACCAGGCTTTTAAAAAACGTGTTTATCATTTCCAAAAAGAGAATTCTTTAGGTAAAAATAATAAAAACCCCATGCTGCATAGATAATGCAGATAGTTCTAGTAATCTGGTCAACAGCAAAAAGCAAGCACTTAAGGTCTTCAGTTCCAATTCTTTTGTTCATTTCTTATTGCTGGAATTTCATTTTCTTCTTCATTTCTTGAAGTCTTTTCTTTGATGACTAAACTGAAAAAGAGGGAAAAAAAGGCTGATCAGACAGGTGTCAAAGGGTTAAAGGGGTGCTTTGTGTACCAAGGCTCACCTGCAACTCAAGATCACAGCGCAACACTCACCGGGTATTTCTCCTTATCCCCCACAACCACACCAGTCACCTTTGCAAAGGAACAATGCCAAGGACTCCCAAGAGTCAGTCAACTTAAACTCACAGGGATCCCTCCCGTCACGGGAAGGCTGCTTCCCCCAGGCTCTGCCAACATTCAGCCACTGCTCAAAGCAAGAAACTAAACCCAATATTCTCCAATGATACCAGACGACAAGAGGAACAAAGGTGACTTTGTCATACTCTTCTGAAGCCTACGTTTTAAGAATTCATCCAGGAGGTGCTGACCACAAAGATGAATACTAGGATACAACAAATGTTCACCAAAAGTGCACAGAGATCACTGCAGCACAGTCTGGACAGTGAGTGAAAGATCCACCTGCAAGCAGACCATGAAGCAGTAGAGCCCATGCAGATGGAAGTCCCCAAGCTCCCACAGCTGGGAGAGGCTGCAGCTGCTGCCAACACTGAGCCACCTCACAGCCCAACTCCTCCAGCCCCTGTCCATCCCATCCGTGTGACCACTCAGACTGCTCCCACTACAGCCTAAATGCTTCTTTCACTTTCCTGCCCTCCAATAAGCAAGGAACAAAACGAACAGGATACACACATGGGTGACAAGAAATGCAGACCAAGTAGAGTCTTAGCAATGAAAATATTCCCAAATTAGCAGAACTGTCTCTCAGGAGTCAGCACCAAACAAGCCTCAAAGACAAAGAGGTTCCCTTGCAACTAACCCAGGGTTGTGTGCCTCTGGCCCCTGCCCTGCACACAACCCTTCCAGAGTCCACATCTCAGTACTGCAACACAACTCCCACGTGCTCTGACAAAGCCACAATTTCTACCAGTTTTTTCAGCGCTTTGATTAGATAAAAAGCTGCTCCTGAGACACTCCTGCTAATTCTGCATCACCTTTGTAGAAATGGATGCCAAGGTCTCAATGCCATCCACCTCCCTGTAGGGACTCAGCTCAGGCACTGATGGAGCTAGGTAAATCCCAGCATATAATTCCCAGCTTCTCCTGACTATTTGCAAGTCTTTACATTTGCACTGCTTGAATTTCTGGGTGAGCAGAGACTGCTGTACACCTGAACTACTGCACACAGCCAAGATTTTAAGTGTAACAGTATTCCATCAATAACCATTGAAGCTTGTAACTAAGTCTTCCCAATTAGTCAGCATTGATGCAACAAAGCCTCACAATTCAGTTCTGCAGACACAATCACAGATCAGTTACAGCATGTTTGAGCAAGAAGAGTCCAAACACTGTAAGGCACAAATAAAAAGCAACAAAAAGTCAACAAATGGCATCCCCAGGCCCCTGTCACGCACCCGGATGATGGTAGAGATGTTAAGCCGGTATTTACTCAGCCCCGCCCTGCTCAGCCTCGGGAGCGGACGTGTTCTCAGCTGGTGGTTCGGCTGTCTTCGTCTCTTTGCCATCTTGTGGTTTAGGGTTCTCTGGGCGTCTGCGTCGGTAGTTGAAATTACGGCGGTACCGACGTTGAGGTGGCTGCTGACTTTGGGTTTCATCCCCTTGGTTCTCTTTATCTTCTTCATTTCCATCCTCTCTAGGCTGTCTTTGACGAGGAGGACCCCTGAAAGTCAAGCTAGGCTTTAACTATGCAGCACCTGAGCATCGCCATGTCCCGGCTCAGTTGCTGAACAAGGCTAAAACCAGCAGCGGATCTGCAGCATACCTGCGAAATCTTGGTCTGTAACCCCGGTACATGTTTTGCCTGACTGGTCTGCCGTCTCCTGCACCCTGGTTGTCAGCACCCTGCAAGACATAAGGCCATAGACCTCCTCAGCCCCAACCCAAAATGTGCTAACTCCACAGCTTGTCACTTTGTGAGACAGGAGCTGGAAGGTCGTCAGTTCAGTCAAGGTGGACAGCAGTTCTAGGGAAGAGGTGCACACATGACGGAGAATCCTCCACTTAATCATACAAACTGGAACACTCTGGTTTTTAGAAGCTATAACATGAAGACCTTCAGCTACTTCATCTCACGCTACTGCCAAACCTTACCAAATTCAGCTGGAGTACCTACAAGAAGTGTCAAAAGCTGCCTCCCATCACCCTGCTCCAAAGCAACCAAGCCCGTTTAGCATCATCTGTCAGGCAAATGTTACCTCCACTATCTCTCCCTGTACGGGAGGGTTGGTGTATTGTGGACGACGCCCGTAGGGCCTACGCATATAGTAAGGTGGGTACCGCCGCCTGCGATAGGGACGGCGTTGCTGGGCTTGGCCTTCTGGTATGTTCTCTCCTCCTTCATTCTTTTCCCCACTCTCACTGTTCTGGTAGTTCTGCTGATAGTTGCGTGGAGGACCCCTACGACGTGGATATCGTCTGTAATGGTTACGATCTGCTGCGTATTTACTGCCCTGCACTGGAACTCCACCAGGTCCTGTGACATTGGCTGCCTCCGCACCCTAAAGAGTGGAAACAGCATTAGGGAAACAGTCACCATCCCACCAGCTACAGCATAAGTCTAGTACTGAGCAAAGATTTACATCCACATTGTGAAGAAATGAAAAACCATTCACCTCCTTGGATGTCATCAGGCATCAACTCAAACCGCAGGCACCACACGAAAGCCTGCAACCTGAGTTTTCCATGTGTGCTGACACCCGAGAGATGTGTTTACCTTTTCTCCCTCAACCACATCAAACTCCACGGTCTCTCCATCTCCTACGCTGCGGAGGTACTTCCTGGGGTTATTCTTCTTTATGGCAGTCTAACAACACAACAGTGCAGGCACAGCATAAGAATACAAAGGAAGACTTTTTTTTTTTAGATTACTAAATATTCATGTTTCTTTATCTGAGGAGAAAGACCTGTACTTCTGAAAAAGCAATTGAATAATTGGGAAAATCCAGGAAGTCATAAAATGTACCTGTATTATGCTCTGGAATATTTGAAATGTGGAACAGCTTTACTATTAACTGGAAGCACCTGTCAACATGCTGTCTGCTGGCTAAAAAGGCAGTTTGAAAACAAAGAGGAGAACTCTCAAACCACACACTGGCTAAAGCACTCCTATAATCAGAGTTTAAAATTCAATATCACTATGATAGTTATACATTCCTCTGATGCCTATACATCAATATATCACAACCTTTCCAATCACCCTCTTGGATTTCCAGCCCTCCATTATTTTTTTCTACACATCACAGGATACAGCAGCTTCTGTGTTCCATACTCTGTAAACATAAAAATGGCCAGGTATCAAGAGATCTCCTCCTCCAAGGCTTCCAACACCATAGTTTCTACTACAGGTCTAACCAATTAATCCTAAATCTACTCCAGTTGTGTATTGCACAACAAGGATTGTTCTTTTCCATGCATCAGCACCAGACATCCTCTGTATCAGTGGCCCACCTGTCAAACAACATTACTAGAACAGACTCAGTTTTCAGTGCTCTGCTGTACTGGATGACACCTTCAGCGGACAAGTTAATACTCAATGCACACCTTGCTCAGGCATGTCCTGCTTATCAAATACTTTAAATGAAGGGCAGTAACAGTGTAACAACTTTCATATAAACACCTGCCACACAATTTGATTGGATTTCTTCTGCCCAAGTTGTACAAAATCAATGGAAAAACATGCCCACAAGTCTCAGTAACTTTAAGGAAAGCCTTATTACAATAAGCAGCCAGTCCAACAGCTTTCTGCGACACCTGAAGTATGTAACAGGGATGGAGAAAAGCATACACAGCTAGACTTCTCAAACAACCTGATTTCTTTCTGATTAGAGCCCTATAATGGTTTAATTGTAAAAATATTACACTAAAACAAATCATTACCAAACTGTTATTTCAGAAACATAGATACCAGCTACATGACAAGTCCTGTAACACAACCAGTAAGTCAAGGTCACTTACAGGCGGCCCTACTTGCCCATTGGGTCTGAAAGCTTCCCCTCAGGGTATGTATAACCTCTCACAAACCAGTGCCTCTAAAAGCTGGTAATTCATACAAAGAACAAGCATGAGGCTGAGAGATTATAAAAACAAAACACTTTCCAGGCATTGTTTTTCCCTTCCTTTGTGTTAACATCAGCAGCATATTCCTAACTTGAGACAAAAGAATGATTCCTAAATGCCAGAGTAATGCAGGCTCCACTAAGAATTCTTTGTGGTCTGCTTACTAAGGAGATCCTGAGCCAGAAAGGGCAAAAAGCAAATTGCTGATCACAGCCTCTCAATTAGACAAAGAACTAAACCAAGGCAAACCTGCTCCATAAAGTAAGACACAGGTGTGGTGTGCACTCCTGGTCTATTTTCCAGCTTACCTATTTGCCACACATTATATCTACAGATACATATCAGTTAAATTGAAAAGCCTGTACTAAAATGTTGGTAGACTTCCACGGAAAGCCTAGAGCAATAAAATCTGTAATTCTGCCTAGGAAAAAAAAGTTTCATTGTCGCTTCATCCCTAAGTTCAATTCTCTCCCTGCTGCAAGCTATTCATTTAACTTTATTTCCAGATGCTTGCTTAACCACTGTACGAATCCACAAGGTGACTGAACTCCAAGCAGTCACCCCCAAGCCCATACTAGCATTGAGTGCAATTCTCATCACTGTACAACCTCAGCCCACTTGGCTGA